TAGTCTAGTCATTCTTCTAACCTCAAGGCTGCTGCTGTTCAAATCTACCAGTGACTCCCGGGAAGAAAGATAGACCCTCATGTGGCAACCTCGGGAATCCACTGAAGGTCAGCTATGAGTCAACTGGGAATTGACAGCCATGAAAAGTTGAGCTGCAGGTGAATCTGCTTCTACAAAGACTAAACCAAATTCCATAGACCCACAGCCATTGAGATGATTACAACTCATAATGGCCTGCTATCAGGGTAGGCCTGTACAGACGTAGACTATTTCGTCTTTTCACAAATAGAGGCTCTTGTTGTTGGTGCTGTTGGGTATGACTCACAGCAATGCTATGAACAACAGATCTGAACCCTGTTCTAGCCTGGGCCATCCTCACACTTCTGACACACTGCAGCCCACTGTGCCAGACACTGTGTCAACCCACCCAGCAGAAGGTGTTCTTCTCCTTCACTGTCCCTCCTCCACTTTTCCAAGCATGATGTCCCTCTACAAGGAATAGCCTCTCCTAGCAACATACCCAAAGAAGAAGAGGTGAAGCTTCAACATCTTTGCCTCCAAGGAGCACCCTGGCTACACCTTCTCCAAGACATATTTGTTTGTTCTTTAGGCAGTCCATGGGATCTTCAATACTCTTCTCCAATACCACAGTTCAAAGACATTCTTTTTTCTGTCATCCTTACTCATTGTCCAGCTCTCAGACGCATAGCAAGTGATCGGAAAGACTATGGTCTCAATCAGATACACCTTAGTACTCAAACTAACATCATTGCTCCTCAATAATTTAGAGAGGCTAGTCCTCCGGAAACCCTATGAATCTGGAGACAGGATGAAAGTCACACAAGTGTTGAGGCCTTTCGTTCGTAGGGTGGCTCTGAGTCACCTACGACTCGACTGCACTTAACAACAACAGAGGGTGCAAGCTACCAAGCTTTAATACAATAGCTTAACACAAAACCTGCTACAAAAATCAGGGCTCCTCCTATCAAGATTATAGTCAAGAAAAGCCTAGTCAGTAGTCCTATTCAGTAACCCGAAGGTTGCCATGCATCAGAATCGGTTCGAAGGCTACAGGTTGGGCTGGGTTGGGTAAAGTTAGGTGTCACTGGGTTGGCTGGGTAGAATTTCACTCCCTTCCAAACTCTCCACATTATAAATGTGTAGCCGTGAAAATATTTATTCAAATTATTAAAAACTGCTTACAAAAGTGTTTTTATCTACTTGGAGTCCTTCCAATGCCTCCTAACCTCGCTTCTGAAAAGTTCACTCCAGTTCACACCTGACTGCAGCGAAATAAAGTCCTTCCTACTTCCCCGCCAGTCAATTCTTAAACTAAATTCAACCTAGACAAAATGTGCCTGCAGTCTTGACCACTCACTGCCTCTGCAGGGTCCCCGCGCCTGAGCCCACAGCTCTGAGAATTCCGCTCAGGACACCAAAGCTCGTTTCCTCCTGTCCCTCTTTAATCAGCCGGAGGAGACTTGAGGAAATGAGTCAAAATCCTAAGGGTGACTGCTAGCAGCCTTGTCAACAACACCAGCAAAAGCCATCACCACAACAACATCTGTACGTAAATGTGCTACAAGGGAAGCCCACAAAAAGACTTGGCACGTTTCTGATGAGAATTTCTTTTGGGAGAAGCAAGGTTGTGAGTGGTAAATTGCCATGCTGGAGTGTCAACAGCCTGAGATATTAGAAATTGCTGCAGCACTATCAGTTACTGTATACAAAGCTAAGACCACTTTAAAAAAAAATTTGGGGGAGGGGTGCAGTGGAAAGAATTTTTAACTGACTGACATGCACACTTTAGTGATAGCTTATCTCTATTTCCATAACTGGAGCGAACAGCTAACACTGAAAGTCTTGGTGCCAACTCTCACAGGATCAGACCCTCAACACCTCCAGGAAAGCTCTCATTTAATAAATCCTCCCTCTGAATGGCTGTGGTGGAGATGAAGATGGTGGTGCTATGGCACCGAGTCAGCTTCAACTTCCAGCAATTGGTCCTACAGGACCTACAGAAGTGCTTGGCCATTATTTTCAGAAGCAGTTTGCCTCAGTTTGCCTGGTATTTCTCCCCTGGAGCACTTGTGCTGGGCTCGAACCACGGATCATTGGCTAGAAGGCAAGTACTTGAACCAAACTCCAACTCAACATTATAATATACACAATTCTAGGCTGGTTTTTTTGTTGCTGTTGTGTTTTTTGGGTTTTTTTTTGTTTTGTTTTTTGGGTTTTTTTTGCCAAACTCAGGAAGATCCTTGGCAGTCCTATGCATTTGCATTTGCAGAACTTACAACACATATTTGGCACGCATTAACTATGTGTAAACGAATGAATGCAAATCTCACTGCCTGGCCTGGTCTCAGGCTCCATTGCTGATTATTCTGGACAGGTGTCAGGTCCTCACTTAGTGTGTTTCTCTAGATGTGAAGTTTAGGTGAAAGGAAGGTGGTACCACTATTTCTAAGGCTTGTTGAAAGAGTTGGAAACGACAAGCAAAGCCCCCACCCAGTACGTGTCTGGCATGCACTTCCCCACGCAAGAGCAGCGACTCTTTTACAACACATATGTAATAGGAAATCTAAGATGTATTAGCAAATGTGCTCTGTAACACAGTGCATATAGATGATTTGTAAAATCATAAGAAAAAAATTAACGGAAGGGTAAGAAGAGAGAGTGGGACTGAATTAACTATTTGGGATCTCACTTATAAAATCTTATTCTTTTCCGTAGAAAATAATCCAACATGCCCTGTGTCCAGGTGCTCGGGGTGACGCTCGCAGCACATCTGGAGGAACAAGGGGAAGGTATGATTCACCATCCCCTCCAGATCCATCCTGCCTGACACAGAAGATGTAAACATAAAAGGGAAGGGGGTCAATGCTAAGGCTGGTAACTCTTCAAACCCTCAGTTGGGATGTGTAGAGGATCTGTAGTGTCATTAAGGAGTGGGCAACAGAAACCCCGTTTTAGCCACGGGCAGACAGGTAGATCAAAGGAAGTGACCCTAATGACCATGAGCAGCCAAGAAATTTCCAGGCAGCTGCAAGCGGTCAAAAAAAAAGAATTGTGCAAATGACTATCAGAAGACTAGGGAATCATGGATCCCCCAGGAATGTTCATATAAGAATGTTTCATTGTACTTTAAGAGGAAACTAGGGTCCCCAGAACTTAAGCTTCCTGCACAAGGGCACTGAGCCAATGAATGGCAGAGAAAACCAGCCAGATGGGAAGTCCAAGGCTTTGTCACTACACAACACTGCCCCTCAGGAGAAAGGCTTTAAAATTCCCCTTGCCAAATGTCTTGGATGGAGCAGGCAAATTATAAGGAAGAAGGAAATACGACGGATTCATTTCGGTTTTAGAACGGGAGATATTCTGTGCATCTGTCTAAATTAAACACAAACAGAACAAAAAACCCAAATATGTGTCATTTTAGCGAGGCAGTCAAATCCACCAAGGACTCTGGACACAAGTCCAGGATTTTCCCCTCTCCTTCCTCAGGGGGGTCCAGATGCAAGGTCTCCTGTCCTGACAGGAAACCCTTCACAATGCATTCAGACCGGGCAGGGGGAAGCTGAGAGACTTTATGTGGAATAGGCCAGCATTTGGCAAAGTCCACAATAGTTCACAGCGATGCTTCCTTTGGAATCCTTACATTCCAATTCAGACTCACTTTCTAACCTAACATCATCAGTTTTTCATGTGACCTGTGGGAAAGCGAGGCTTCAAGTGTCAAGCGACTTTCATGCGCGGCGTGTACCAGCGACACCCAGGGGGGAAAAGCACAAAAACGGAAAGGAGAGGCAGGAATCCGACTGAAGGATCCGGGAATCAGCAAGTCTTTCTCCACCTGAACACCCAAGTTTCCGCGCAGAAATAATTGCATTTCCATAAAGGCTTTAAGAAGCAATGAGAATTTGCAGAAAGTTGCACTCAATCTCCTGATCTTCCACCCCTTACCCAGGCACTCTGAAGTATAAATATCACGTGGGAAAGGGCCAAGTGAGTCTCAAGAATTTAAAAAAAAAAAAAAATCCAACTGGAAGCTACGACCATAGGTTGCAGACACCAACACAAGTATCCAAGGCCCTGGGCAGTATGGCTCCGGTGCTCGGATGGACAGGCGTCCTCAATGCTGTCCTTGCCTCGCTCAAAGCAAGCAACAGACGCTGCCACCGGCCGCTCGGGTGCGTACGGCAGGAATGAAACGGCACCCGGCAAAAAGGGGCGAGTCCCCAGGCACTGGATTTACAAAAGCAAAAAGTCTGCAACCTAGCGGCTGCTTTCCACAGGCCGTGTCCAAGTTATCCCTGTCGCAGCCACCTCCGGGCTCTCCAGGGTCCGACCCCACCGCCCGCATGCCAGGCGTTCGATTTGCAAAAACCCAGGAGCAGAGCCCCGCGGCCGCCTTCGTAGGTAGCGCGTTGGTTCCCATCTCGGGGGCACAAAGAGCGCCCTTGGTTGCGAAGCAGCGGCCGCAAAGAAAAAGAAAGGGGTTCTAAACTTTGCCCTCCGAGCAGTTGAGACCCCGCCGGCCAACCCTCTGGGGTATCGGTCACACGCACACAACTTTTAACAAAAGGACGCTGCAGCCGCGCCTCTCACGACAGCGCGAATCCCCGGCCTCTGCCAACCCCGCGCACCTTCGGCACAAAAGAAACCCCAAACTCGCACGCAGCTCGGCTGACCTCAGCCTGCAGCCTCGCTTACCCCAATCCCCCTGGCTGCCCTCCTCCCCGGTAGACCTCCCTGGCTCAGAGGCCCCCTAGCACCAGCGCCTGGGGCTTCCTCGCGCAGGTGAGCTAAGAAGGACGAAGAGGAGTCCCCCCTCACCTCCTCCCCGCCCCGGGGACGCCTCGAATAACCCCGCAGGCTGAAACGCCGGGGACCAGCAGCCACCTCTCAGGACACACCCCGACCTGTTCGAAGCCCTAGAGGGACAGAGGCTGCGCCGGGGGTGGTGTGGCGTCTAGGGGTCCGCCACTCTCTCCCACCTGTCTGGACGCGGAGGAGAAGGAGCAGGACGCCGAGGAAATCCCAGGCGCCGCGAGCGCCTCTCATCGCGGTGGCTGCGCTGGGATCCGAGCTCTGCTTCACGTTCTTGCTCTCGCCCGAGTGCGGCGAGCGCGGCAAAGCCGAGCCCCCAGAGCACGGGAGCGGCCCCTCCTCCCGAGCCCTCCCCCTGCGCGCGGCCACGCCCCTATCGCCTCCCCTCCTCCCGCCCGCCTGGGGCTCGCTCCCTCCTGGCGGCGCTAGCCCCCGGGCTCTGGCAACCCTCTGATCCCTGGGGGCTGTGACCGTGGAGGGGAGGTGGGGCGCGCACGCTGGCCCTCGCCGCGCGGGTCTCGACCCCAGATCCCGCCGTCTCTCCTCCTCTCCTCCCTTGTGATATGGTCGGGCCGCGGAGACGCAGTTCCCCGGGACCCGAGTGTGCGCTTCGTGAAGCTGGGCTCCACGCGCACTTTAGGGCACCAGCCGGCTACCTGGCAGGTGCTCCCCAGACAATAAAGGTTGGCTGCCCAGCCTTCTTGCATGCTCCTGAGGGAAGGGGGTGGTTGCGCTGGTGGTGGAAGTGGTCCAGGAACCAGAGATGGGTGCTTGGTCAATAGGGCACCGAAATTCGTCTCTCCTGTGAGTCGAAGGGGGCCAAGCATGGCGCCTGACATCTCGGTAAAAGGCTAAAAGGGGCTTTAGGCAATTCTTTCTGCTCAGTTTTCTCCACCTGCTTGGTTACCTGTACGAACACAGTTGGTTTCCAATTGGCAGACATAGTCTCCGCCCCACAAATCCCCCTGCTGAGACTTTTCTGGAGACCCAGACCTTGGAGTAGGGAGGGGCGCCTTGTGAAGTTTGCCTGCTTTTTTTTTTTTAAAAAAAAAAAACCAAAAAACTCTTTACACCAAGCCAATCATTTTGCAAAGCCCTCTAGGCGCCTTCCCACCCCCCCCCTTCCCCTGTACAGTTTCTTTCCCTGTGTATCATGACAGTTACAAGACTGTGGATCCCGGTGTTTCTCTTAGCTGCTCCAGCCCGTACCAGGCTCAAAAGTATTAGTAAAATGATACTCTTAAACCAAATCCTACTGCATAGCAAGTGCTTCTCCCACCTGCTTGGAATGACGCTCCTGAAGGAAATGTAACAACACTAGCTCTGTGGAGTTTTCTAGTTCTTCCTCGTGCTGAATGTATGTGTTCACAGCAGCAGCTTGCTATTATAGTAGCTCTAGGAGACAGCTTTATTATCTTTATTTCAAAAGTGGTCAGAAATCAAACAGCTTTATTAGGGGAGAACAGGATTTGAACCCTTAAGGCTGACTCCAGATTAGGATGAGCTTTCCCTATGCCTTCTGTAGTAAGGCAGCCTCCTAAATCACACACCCTGTAAACCCCACACCCTTATCCAGCCTCTAGAGCACAAGATTGGAAAATTGATGGGAAGTCTTTATCAGAGGGAAAGAAAGCAATAGAAGAATTCAGCTATACCTAGACTGCTTTTTTAAAGTATCATCCGGTTTGTAATTGCTTAGATCCTCACCTCACTTAGAAAGCTCTCCTGCTTAATGCTCACAGGACCTAAATTGGCTTAAATTAATCACTTAGAATCATCACCACTAAAGGATAATATGCATAAATGTGTCTCCTTAAGTTTATTTATGCATTCATTCAGCAAGAATTTTGTTATTGTTGTTGTTGTCTACTGGGAATAATGATTAAGCACTGGGCAGCTAACCCGGAAGTCCAAGGTTTGAGCCCATCAGCAGTTCTGCAGGGAGCTCTAGTGGCTTAGTGGGGGAGATGGCAAAAGAGAGGAAGACCCTCAACCAGATGTGTTAACACAGTGACTGCAGCAGTGGGCTCCAGTGTGTCAGAGATCGTGAGGAGGGCACAGGCTAGGGCAGTGTTCAGATCTGTTGTTCAAATAGAGTCACAATGTGCCGTACTTGCCTCGATGGCATGAGACAACAGCTACAACCTGGGGCAACTGTTATCTGGACTTTCTGTGAGTCATAATGGATCCTGAAGCACACAATAGCTGTGAGGCAAAGGCACTCTAGTGGTTCAAACTACTTACCTACAAAGGTTGATGGTTCTGATCCACTCAACAGTTCAGGGAAGAAAGATTATTACATAAAGATCATGGATGGCCTAGGAAACCCGGTGAGACAGTTCTACTATGTCAAGTGGCATAAAAACAGTTGGGCTGGCATGAAGGCAGCTGCACTTTGGTGACTTGATAGTAAGGAATTGTGGTGCCAATTCAAAGATATGTGGTTTTAATGCATCAGCTGCTCTGCAGTTAATGATGGACAATCCCCTTCCATGTGATTTACTGCCTCTGAAAACTTGTGGAGGGTCAGATGTGGGTCTGTTCTGACTCCATAGTACAAAACAACAAATTTGTCCCATCCTTCTGCCCCAGCATGGCTGATGAGTTCTAGGTAATGATTTTGTCCTGGTCATACTGACCAGTTCTCACTATAATCCTGAGGATGTCTATCTACCTCCTGTGTGTTACAAGGGAGTTCTCACTGTTCTGTCTTCAGGCAATTAATTCTGCTATTAGTACTTGAGTTACAGGTCCAGTGATAGCTGCTGATAATAATGGGTTAAAAGATTAGGCCAAGAGATTCTTTTAATATCTGAACTTAGCATGCTGTGGACTGCCAAGAGAACAAGTTTTTCCCCGAGAAGGGGAAACCAAATTGTTCCTTAGAGGCAAGGATTATGAAGCTCTGTCTCGCATATTTCAGGGATATTGCCAGGAAGGACCAGTCCTTGGAGAAGGACATCACGCTTAGAAGAGTAGAGGGAGAGTGTAGGAGAGGAAGACCCTGGATGAGATGGATTGACATAGTGACTGGGGCAATAAGGGTAGGTGTGTAGGAGTCAGTGAGTTTGGCTCAGGACAGAGCAAGGTTCAGAGTGGTTGCTATGAGTTGCAGGCACATAACAACAACAACATTTTATTTATGTTTGTAATTTAAGTGAAAGTTCACAAAGGAAATTGATTCTTCATTCACATTCATACATGTTTTGTTTCATACTATTCATTACAATATCCACAGTGCAATTTCTCTTGCACTCTTCCCATGCCCTCCCTATCATTCTCTTTCCCATTAATCATTTTCTTTTACTTCTTCCCCCTTTTAAAGCCTTGTACTTGAGTAAGTTATGCTCTTTTGTCTGTTTGGTTATTCTAAAGGAGTGAGTATCTCCCTGATGTTAGAGCAAAAATGATTTTTGTTTTGCATTAATTTCAGCCTCAATCTAAATCTTACTTGGCTTTGTGGTTTATCATTTGTAGCTAAGAATAACTGTAAGAATGATTTCTCTTCTTAGTACACAAAGGACAGGGGTATATATAATGAATGGGCTGGGTAGCTTGGTCTATACCAATTTCCTTTGTTTTCAGACAACTTGTTATTGTTGTTGTGTGCCACTGAGTCAGAAGTGACTTATAGCTGAACTTCCAGCAGATTTTCAGAGAGTAAATCACAGGAGAGGTGATTGTCCATCCTGCTCCTGAGTAGCCCTGGGCCACACGAACTCCCATGAGTGCCTGCTAATGACTGATCCCTTGAGTTAGAATGCATACCTAGGAGGGACTCTTTTAAGGGGATTTGGGAAGGTAAGGACTACCATGTGTTATGTTATGTTATGTTATGTTATGTTATGTTATGTTATGTTATGTTATGTTATGTTATGTGCCATCGAGTCGCTTGCGACTCATAGCGACCCTATGTACAACAGCCCTAAACTCCGCTCTGTCCTGTGCCAATC